CCGAGGGATGGGCGCGAATGCCAAACAGCCTTGCCGTCAGCTGTGAGTGGAGTGGGTAAGTTGACGGGAGAAAGGCGCCTTTCGACCGAATATGGTTGACAGACGATGCAGCCGCATAGAGTGTTTATGACCACCCAGAGGGTTGCACGTGCCTTGTACTAGGGTTGGGTGATAGCGCATTTGTCAATTTTGTGTTCAACTGGGATGTCCCGGTTGTAATCGAAAGTGATTCCCAATCTAGTCAGTATTTTTCACTGGCAGGACATCCCTCTTCAAGTGGCTACCGAATAAATGAGGTGATGGAATTATATGCGTTTATATGCCATCAAAAATGCACTTTTTGATAATAAAATGGGATTCAGAGGAATCTATGTTTGCTGTCCAAATCTAGTAAAGGGCATTTTTTGAATAATGGAAGTGTGAGTAATCCTAAATAAGTTATTAAAGTCAAAACCTAGATAAGGAGGTTTATTTAGCCTTAGGTTAGAAGGGGAGTTGAGTTGACTGTATTTTTGACCACAAGAATCCCTGTATTCTCCCACAATCTGGTCAACATGTCGGTGGGGATTAAGCTCGGGTCATAAAGCTCTCCTCTCTCCTCTTATGCACTTCTGAGGCAATGAAACGACTTTCGCAATTGTGTGTCATATTCCACTCTCAGGGATAACTCATATGCTACATTAACAGCAGCAGTGATGGGGAGTGTTTGATACCCCCTACTCCCATCAATGAATACCATAGTGGCTTGCATTGATGTTTCAGAGAAGTCTTACTTTTTGGATAGATCGGCTGCTTACTGCGCTTAGAGCCACAACGAAAGGGTGTTGCAAATGAGTGAGTCTACGACCACTTTCGCCACCACGACTTTTGGCTAGTATTTTAATGCTCATTTTGGAATCAGTGAACCGAGGTATTAGTCGGGGAAGTTGGAAGGGTTTATGAAAGAGTCAAAAACCATGAGTTTGGCTAGACAATCATGTACCTGTTTGAAATGAAGGCTAGGATACGCCACACAGATTGTTCAGTAGCATTAAAAGAGAGACGAAGTGGAATAGAAAACTAAAAATTTGACATTCTTAATTTAATAATTGCGCTTTTTTGACTAACATGCCTGCGAAACCCATTTGGTAGACTAGTTGGACACCGCATAGAACCCCATCCAGCCTTGGGGTGTAGTGTGATAAAAAAGTCCCTTGGAATGCATTGTAGGGCCCTGAGTCTTTCCTGACGACAAAAGAAGACATACCACTGAGACAGATACTAACGACGTACGGGAGGGATGAGCGGGTACTAGCATGGTCCGGAGGGCATGTTGTGCCCTTAAGCTCCTGTGTAACCGAAGCTAAGAAGCTAACAAACAATCAGAGCTTTACGTAGCCCCAGACACTCGTCTTGGCCAACCTTCTGCACCGACCATCAAAATATGATCGGTTCTGTAAGTCAAACACCCACGAAACAACAGCGCCAATCCACAACTGAGACGGTATTCGACTGCAACTTCATCGGCCGAAAAGCAATTCATCTAATAAAGGATCGGGTTTCAAGTAGTTTCATGGGGATAAGATTTCGTGTCCATTCCTCCATACCACTCTTATCCTACTCAGTTTATGCAGATAGTAGAGAGACGGAGGAAGTTTCGCGTGTTCACTTAGTTGCCATCTTCACATTGGTACCGTTAACGACTCTGTGACGAGCTTTTCCAGATGGTGCATGGCTGGTGTCGCTTCATTTCTTAATGGCATTCCTACAGAAGGCGGAACTGAGTTAGTTGTTGTAGGTAAACATCATTCTCAACCCTTCTGTTAGGAGAAATCGCAGATGTGTCCATTCCTAGCATATACCCTTTTTCCATCGCGTGAAGGTTTAGTGTTCAGGGATAGAAATCAGGGTTATTTTCCTTTGGGAGCGGGTTCCTATTCCGCTTCCACCATTGTTAAGCCCTGAATATTCTCTGAAATGGAAAGGATGGGCAATATTTGGCTAGAATCTGTGTTACCGACGTACAGAAGGTCTGGGGGCTACTGACTTGGTTTAGGGGCAATGCCAAAAGTGCCCAAGCTACCAGTGAAGATTTAAGCAAAATACTCAAGTTTTACTGCATTTATCAGTGAGGATGTGATCTTTGGGCCCATTGATATCTACGAAATCTCTAATTACCTTTAAGTTAGTAAATCCTCTTGCTGTAATAGCTAATCATCATCACAAGTTGATATTCGTGATGGCCGGCGAAGAAGAATTTGATTGGAGATTGCCGATGAGGATGACATTTAAATCTAGATGGAGCCAACAACATCAAATAAAGTGTCCGTAATAGCTAGACTTCAAAGTTTCCAGTTCATCGTCCGCTGTGTTCGCCAGAACATCAACATCCCAGGGCTGCTACTAGAAAAAACTACGATAAGCTAATTTTACATGATTTGCTTGCTGAAGAAATGACAAAACAGCATGCCACATCCTTTTAAGGTTTAAAATTTCTTTGAACTTAAATGATATGCCTTTAATGGCTTAAGACCAACTGCTGAAAGCCGGTCTGGAGCAAAATATTCCTTACCGGAAGTTGAAGGTAAGGAGGAAGTGTTTGATTACTTTCCCCTAGAACAAAGCATGGGGATATCCAAGCAATAGCTCCTTCTAAGAAGCAAATTAACTCAATACAGGGTGAGAGAGGTGAGGAATGACTTCCACGCATACATATTAAAGAAACTGATGATGCGCATTAGTGGATAGACTAATGCAATGTTGATTCATCTCGATGACCGATGGCAGTCAGATCGTGGCCTTAATAAGACAGGCGAGCCTTTGAGATAATATCAGAAATTCCGGTGCTGATGGAGTTGGAGGGTGAGTAATTCCAAACCAGACATCATCAAGGTGCAACTCTCTGTGTGTGCACGCACGCATCGCTAATTGATGAGACTTGTCCACTTCCAGCCTCTCTACTCCACCACCATCTCCACCCCTCTGAAAATCTGCTGCCACCAGATCATAAGAAGCGCCTTTTTTTAGATAATTAATCGTAATTGGATGCTTTGTAATGTCGATTAACAGAAGAAAATCTTCGGTCATTTCATGAAGTGGGACGATTGAAGTCATAAATTTTTGGAAAAATCCGATGGCATTAGGTGAATGCCGATTCAGAGGTGAACTAATGTTGCACCGAGGGGATTCTTCGCTTCAGATATTAGTGGTTTACCTCTTTGAACTCGAAGAGCCTCGTCGATAATGCCGGATCATCTGGAAGTAGAACTAAAAGGCCGCACAGTGTTCTACGAAAGAAGCACCTCTCATAGAGTAATTTTGTAGTGGAAGGAGGGTCTTTGTTTAAGGTCTAGTTCAAAAGGAAGGTGCGGGAAGGTCTGCGTTGTCTACCTTTAGGCGACAACCGGCCAGCTGGTCAATTTTGGTTCAAGATGGTTTTGTGGTGACACCATAACATGATGTTTCCCTGTGATATTTTCCAAAATCGTAGACAGATGTCAGTTTTACATAACCCTTCTGTAAGAAGTTAGAGAAACAACTTCGCTGACAATGGGA